GTATTCTTGTTTGGGTGCAGTCACACCATGCCTATCTCGTGTGACACACACCCCTGTTCCCAGGGTACGTGTAGCCCCGTTACACATCCTCTGTGCTTTTTTTAAAGAGGACTATTAGAGTCACAGTCTTCTCTGCGCGGCAACCATTTAACACGGGGTCATATCGTGTCATAGCTCTAATCTCCGTGCCTTTGTGTGGCACGACGAAAATGCTGATCTTACATTGAACACTACAGTTCACTTTGGTGACAGTCACCAGGTTTAGTTTACCAAATCTGTACCCCGTGTTGACTTGGAGTCCACATCCCTCCATATTCTAGCCTTACCATCGAAGACTCGCGCAGTATTCATTCCGTATCATCACTATAATAGAAACAAGAATGAGCTAGTTTTTCAAGAAAATGAGTGTCAGCAGTATTTTTGTTTTTTAGTCAAATTTATTAGCAATTTCTTCATTTGGCGTATATGGTGTCTCTTTGATAAAATAAAGTATCAATAGCAGTAGAAGTAGAAGTTTTAACCAGGTCAAAATTTAGCCAAATTAGGACTTCAAAATAATGTATAAAATCACGTTTTTCCAAGAAAAAGAGCTGTTTTTATTGTCAAGGCTTCGAAGGGATGGACGCTCTGCTGCTAAACGCTCGAATGAGCACCAGCGGCTCCAGCTCGAGTTTTGACAGCTCTGATAACGAGGACCCGCCTAAGCTTATCCTCGAGCGGTCTGATATGCCGCCTCCGCCTCCTCCCGAATCACCGCCGCCCGATAATAATATAATGCCTCCACCAGACTCTCCTCCACCTTGTGGTAAGAAGTGCAAGCCAATAAAATCGCGGCAGACAACGAAAGTAATTTGGACACGTCCAGATGTTTCAGCCATGTTGACGCCCAAGCATTCCCCAGTCAAGCAGCAAGAGAAGGAGGTTGTGAATGCGTATTCGGACGAATCTGATGTTTTCGATGAGGATATTGAGGCCATTTTATTTGCTGAAGAGGAAGAAGATCGCCGCAAAGGGTATACTGACTGTTTGATAGAAAGCCATTTGGACAGCACTGAATACCCATTTCCGGCTTATCTCGTCAAGCTTTCGACACTATTTACGGAGGAAAATGCGTTTGGAAAGAGTCCTGAAAACTATATTTATTGCAATAACTTGGTGGTACGTTGCTGAGGATAACTCATAACAGAGAGGTTAACTCCTCCTCGATTTGCAGGTTAGTCCGTACCAGCTGAAATTATTAGATGTTCGAGCTTCTGCGTCAGAACAAGAGACACTGAAGCAAGTGCGACGAGCAGCAGAGGTGGCGGCAAAAAAGGAATTGTACAGGAGACGCCAGCAGAGGTAAGGAATTGAGCTATATCTAATGGTTGAGACGAAAAATCGAATTGATTTTTGGATGCCATTAGACGAATTGAAGCTTTAGAATCGCCTGTCAAGAAAATCAAAATATCGGAAGCTACTTTGAAAGCTTTAGAAGCGAAACCGTCTGCTTCTATGATCAGCTTGAAAAATCTTTCTAACCCTTCAAAGAAGCGGGTTCGTAGAAAACCTGCGTCATCAGCTGCAAACACAAAGCCAGTCGCATCAACTTCGTCACATCCTACCGGCGCCTCCGCCGTCAATTGTAATACTTTTAAATTGACATCTTCCCCAGCAAAAATACCCAAAGGTATGAGTAAGGCCAACGGTGAATCTTCTAACGGACAGAAAATGCTGGCTTGCAGTGGCCGCACCAAAAAGGTCACGACCGCAACAGTCAAACGCAAAGCAGCAGCTGCAACAGCAAAAACACCTAAATCTGTAATGAGTGAGCGAGCTAAGCCAAAACTGATGGCCGCATCAAGCAATAGTCGAGTTCTTCCAGAGATGGAGAAGACTCGTGTAGATATGAACGAAGACCCCGGCAACGAAAGCTCTTCGTCCGCTTCTTCTTCATCGACTTCGTCTTCGTCGTCATCGTCTTCATCTTCGACTTCAGAGACTTCGTCAGGTGTATCTGGCGATGACACGAAGGAAGAATGAAATACATGTCTTACTTAATGTCAGTGGCTAGGCTCTCGATACTCACTTTTACATCTCTCTAAAACACGTTACTTCTTTCCGGTAATTTGTACCTGTTTTTCAACCCATATATAGGCCGACTTTTGGCCCAACTCGAACAGTTGATCCAGCACTTCCACCTGCGGGGGAAACAACGCAAAGCGTGCCAATTGCCAAATTGCAAATGGAAAATTTTTATCAATTGACGGGCTGATTTCGTAATCATACCGACGTAGGATGTGTGCGTGAAACGCACACACTTTGACGTAACCAGGAACTTCTGGTACTAATGTAAGTATGCCGCCGTCGATATGATATTCTCCTCGGAACATTGACATGCCTCGTCGTGCCAAGTACCAAGGAACATAGCAAGATGCAATGAGAGCATCGCATAGATCGTCTGTGGAGTAGAAGCGATTAGTCAGCACCAGCGCTCTTGCCGGCCACACCCTTTCCGTAGCGATTGTGAGACGCTGCGCTAGAGTCTCGGTAGACAAGTCACTGAACTTGGCGTAGAAAGTGGCGCGCAGTCGCTCCTCCAGGCTCCATAATGTGCCTTGACTGCGGCACAGTTTAGCTATGGTCTTGGTCTCCTCATGAATGTCGCTCATGCTTGCGTTAGCAACCAGACTTAACGCCGCGATTGCGCCTCCCGAAGCTCCAGCGAACTTAGAACTGGTCTGAATGTAACCAGCATCCTGTAGACCCTTTGCTACACCCAAATGGTACGAGATCAAAAAGCCGCAGCCACTAAAACTGAAGTTGCAAGGGATGGAACATGCAGCCTTAGAGAGGAGATGTCGAGTAAGATGCATTGAGACAATTATGTCACTGTAACGGAATAATAATGACATTGCTATGTTGCAGCGAGATGTAGGTAGCGCTACATGTTGCTGCCTGTGATTCCTCTGGCGCGCTCCGTTTGGCACAAATTCAGAACATTAATGATAGACGAAGCTCGCTACCGGACCCATAGACAGCAGTTACTTTTTTATTTCTTCAGAATCGGCAAGCATTAACCATATGCAAGATTGATTACACTACATTTCGTAACTACAAGCATAGCCATCTAAACTAGCTGAAGACGAAATTCAATTTGGTTCGATCTCATCACGCAGTAGGTGCATCAACCGCTTCAGTGAGTCGAAACGGAAGTTGTGATGAATGTATTTCGCGGATTGACTAAAAGTCGTAGGTTTGCGTTTGTGCTTTGAACAAGCTCTACAGTGGCATGTAGCTTGCTGTAATTTAGAATTGTGCCAGTTACGAGTAGTTTTGCTCAGAGGCTCGTGAAACAATGCAGCTGCTACTTTGCTCCAAACGACAGAATTCGATCCAGCGGAGAATGGGACGATCTATCTCCCGAGCTTTTATCGTTGGTAGATATTCCCTGACATAAAGGCTTTATTGATGCTGCTACAATGTGTCACTCAAGAATATTGGCGCTAATGGTGCAGAATCCAATACGCAGCAACAGTAGAACCAAGTTTTGTTGGCGACAACGGTTGTCAAACGAATCTTACACTCGATTGATGCTACTTTTTTGTTTGCGTCGAAGATCGATGCTGTGTTAGGGCTATGTTGTGGACATAATCCGGTGTGTACATAATCCGGTTGGTTGTCCAAATTAAAGACAGTGGAATATTGTTACTACCAGTGAAGGCAATACGTTCAAAGAAAAGAAGGCAGCAAAATAGCGTTGCATTACTAAAATTTACTACTGGCGATCTTCAAGCAGCAACCTTAAATCGAAAATATCTTATTTCGGTTGTAATTTACGTAAGGTTTTGGATTACATTAAAAAATTCTTTACATCGACCTGCTCCAAAGCTGCACAAATTTGAATCTGAAACATCAATAAACTCGTAACAAATGGGCACAGAAGTACAAGGTGAAAAAATACCCGTCACCTCGACAATTTGGTCGCATGGATTGCCATACCACAAGATGTCCTTGTTCTTGCCAACAATGAACAGTTGTGGAACCTTATAAAGGTTGCACTTTACGAGATATCTGAACCATCCAAGAATTCGTCAGTTCAAGTAGGAATAATTGCAACGATGCCGAATGATCTAACACACTCTTTGCTAATTAAACCAGTTTCGATCCCAATGGTGAAAGGGAACTCTTTTAGCTCACAAAAGTTGCTTGATGTGCGACCCTTTATTTCATACATTGCCAGCTCTTCGCGAGATTCCTGAGTCAGTGCAACGAATTGAATCGCTTTGAACAAATCATCATTAAACACACGACTGGGGGTAAGCTAACTTAGTAGTGATTACCTTTAGCCAGCATTGTCTGGTGGAGTATCGACAAAATCTGCAACGCCTTACGAGATTTTCTACACCACGTTCCCTGCCAATCAGTAAAACGATTTAGCGTTGGCAACGACACAGCTATTGACTTTGATAAACAAGCTTGTACAAAGAACAGGATGCAGGTAACTGTGTTCAGCTTCAGCTGCACTGCATCGCCGTATATAAAATCAACATTTTCCAGATCTCGAGCTTTGAAAGCATTCAGATACAAGTTAGCCTTTACGCCAGGTTTTGAGCAAATGCTTTGTACCGTGCTGCATTCTTCCGGACATCTCCAGCTGCTTGTATTTTTCTGTGCATAGACCACCGACTAGGACGGCAAACACGACAGCTAGCACAAAAAAGTAGTCCTTGAACAGCCAGTCATTTCCGTTAGAAATGGCTGTCAGCCAAATTGCCACGCCACCAACAACCAGCGCCCGACTTCCCAATGTGTCGATGCATACCATCGAACAAGCAAACACAGATATCTGGTGAAAGGGCACAGGACAGTCGAATTTTGTAAATTAATGATATTTCACAGCAAGATCTATATTTCAGCTTAATAAATAATTGAAAGTTGCAGTTATCACTTTATGCTTAAAACATTTCTCAAGTGTTTCAAAGTCAACTCGAGGTATAAAGGAACATCACCTTTTGTCGTGCTTCTGGAAGGGTACATGGTGAAGGTCCGCTTGAGCTAACCTCCAAGTATTTTGCTGTTAAAGATACATCAAGACCATAAGTTCTGCAACATGATCCATCTACTTAGAAAGAAGCGACGATGTTGACGCGAGACGTATCATACAATGAAGGATAACGGGCTCGAGTTGAGGATAAAATGTGCAGTTATACAATAATCCTTATTGATGACTACACTTTAAAACGTCAACAAAGATAGAGAAACATGAGATCGAATCTCAACGGCGACGAAGTTTGAGAAAAATAAAAACGGACGTCCTTTCGCGGCAACATTAAGACAGTTTAGTCTTACTTCGACTTTTTCAATCTGGAATCAAGCTCTAGTCAAACATGGGCCTCAACGGAACGACCAAAGCTGAGTCCCATACATCTGACAAGCCAGATGCAAAAGGAAGTTCCCCAATGCAGCGTAAAGTTTGCCTCATCCACCGAACACTCGTGTTTGGTGCTGCTGTATGGTACATTACGGTCTCATTAATGGCAACTGATGCCGCATTAGGCTTATTGAAAGATGGAGCACGTTACAACAGTTCACCTAGCCCAGTTGCGTCTCCATTAATCGCCGCGTATGCAGGCATTGGCATTATCCGTAACAGCCCGCTTGTGGTAGATCTGCTGGGGAATTCAACCGAGCCTCGTGCTAAAACACTTTTTTTGGAAACTCGATCGAGAACGTCGTTTAATCAGTGCACCGCCGTTGTCGAAGGAGATAATGTTAATGTTTACAAGGATGTATATCTGCGCTGGATTTTTGACAATTTGCAAAGCATGACGGCTTATAACATTTCGCTGTTATATAAAGTCGAGTTAGTCGTCCCTGTTGTGGACTGCCAGCTTGACGTCATTGGCAGTGGAGGCGCTGCTTTGGCTCGAGTCAACTACCTTGTACGCTATAAGAACGAAACGAATCGCATGCTTTTACTCCCTGCATCGCTAGCGATCCAAGATTATTCTATTGCTGAGCAGTATGAACAAGGATCTGCGTTATTATTGACATTTTCGATTGTTGAAGACATGGCGTCAAATGGTCCGGTCAGCCACTACTACACTATTGCATTGGATTACCCGTACGAATACAAACCGAGCTTTGAAGCTTGCCTCTTTTACGATCACACTAGCGATGGATATTGGTCACTTGAGACAATTCCTCGTGATCCGTTTATGAGACCTCCAAAGCCTTTGATTTCAGCTCGACAGCTTGGATTTTATATTGATAAAGAGACGTCGCAGGCAAACCAAATAAACTTCTATTGGGATCCAGCTGACGATCCAGCTTCTGCGTTGACGTTCTGGAATTGGCATGGTGATACGGTGGTTCGCGATAATTGGGCTTGGGTACACATAATTCACTTGGCTTTTGCTATCGACGTGATGTTTCAGCTTGTTCTGCTTTTATTCCTCGTGTACCGCAGCATTTTACAAAGGCATCTTTGGATTGGTGATGCGTTTGCACCTATATCAAATGCATTGCTTTATCGTGGCATTTATGTGCTGATTGCTAACGAGCTGAATGGGTTTTGGACTCTCACCGATTTCAGTCTTGCCCTTGCAGATTCTATTGGAGAAAATCCAACTGTTAAAAATCATCCCGGTTTAGTGCATGCTGACATGCTCACAATTTATCTCAATATTGTTTGCGTATTTAGCTATTTGGTCCGAGAACGAGTTGACCCACTTTTAGCTGTAATATGCTTTGAAGTGGGTTTCAATTTTCGAGAATCCATGACAAAGATTTTTCCAGCACTCCATAAAGTACTTAGAGACTACTCAGATTTGGAAGTTACACATGGTCCCGTGGCGGTGAATGAATATAAATTGTCCCCCATGCGGCTTTGGACACTCCATGCTGTCCCTTCAAATAGGTGGCTGCTAATTATTGCCACTTTCATCGTCATCTTCAGTACAATATTAATCATCGTGCTATACGTGATTGTGCGTAAGCTAATGCGTCACTACTCGGTTACATCTCAAATAAGTAGTCGAAGTGTCGATAGCAAAAGTTTAAATAAGTCTCGACCAACACACAACGACTCGGAGCCACGGGAGCTGATGCAGTTTGAGACCGCCACGGGGTCCGTACTGAAAAATCGTTTTGGCATCTTGTCGAAGTACAAAAATTACATGTACATCAAGTCCCGCAGATTCGCATCTGGTGATGCCATCTATTGTAACGGATTTGTGGTGGCTAACGACAAATTTGTGATTGCTACGGAAGATTTGATGTCTCTACTGATCATGAAAATTGCGCGGGCGCGGTTCACGAACATTTACGTCTATACCATAACAGCTGGCACCGGGGTGAACCAAACGGCTCGACTTGTGTATCCATCGACAATCTCCTGGCATGATCTGGCAAAGGTAAGCGTTAGCCCCTTAACATAAGAAAACTTTAGCCGAAATATAGAATTGCATATGCTGTCGATATGATTCTTCACGGTTAAGTTCTAGTAAGGCTTGACAAGGACGAAAGTAAGATAAACGCCAATGCATAAAATTTCTAAATCATCGTATTGATTAATATAAGTAGTGTATTACGATAAGATAGTAACGTTGAGATGCAGGAGATCGTTCCAGGAAAAGGTGTTTGGGTACACAAGTCTAGCAGTGCGCTGGACAGAAAATCCGTCAACTTCGTAAGCGTAAACATTCAGCAAGCGCGTTTGAGAAATCTTAATCATCGCAATGGTAAGTATATCTTCTGTAGCCACAAGATACTTCCCATTCACAACAACGTAGCCTGAGCAGTACACACCATCAGGAGATGCAAACTTCAGCCCCTTAAAAAACACATAGTTCTTGTAGTCCGAGATCAAACCGTAGCGAGCTTGTAACTCTGCGCCAGTTGAGATTTCAAATTTGGTAAGGTTACCTTTCTGAGCCAACGCAGCCCGCTCATTAGTAGATCGATCAGTACTCCTGTTTGTAAGACTCGGAGCTAATGGGTCAGGGTAGAATATTTTGTAAACTTTACGCAGCACTACGAATAAAATCAATGTGCCCATCAATATATACTTTGGATAGAAAGAGGCGAAAACAAATTTGTTGTTGACACTTTTCAACTTGTCTGTTGTCCAAAGCCTCATGGGCGACATTTCCCGCTGCAAATCGGTGACTGGAGCAATTCCAAGGCGATACTCTTTGTCAGAAAAAGCACGCACCGTTTGAAGAACAGCAGGTGCCATCTTTACAATATGCTGGCGATTATCGTGTATAGCCTCATAAAGAAACACACCGATGGTAGGATCAATCCTTTCCTTAAAAATATGTCCCACAAGTCCAAACAAGCTAAGAAACATCACCATAAGGTCTGCGTGAACAATTTCTGAGTGAATTGGTACAAGCTGAGTGCCGGTAAGGTCGTTAGCATTTGATATACAAAACTCAAGCAATGTCCATTTTCCGTTCACAATCCAAGAGAAAAACACAAGAAGCCCGCGAACTATAAGAGTGCTATTCGACAACGAGGCAAAAGAGTCCCCAATCCAAACTTTTCCGTCGCATGCCTTTCGGTAAACGATGAGCATCAGTACACACAGGGAGAAGAGCGTTTGCACGCAAAAGATCATATGAATGCCATGAACCCAAGCCCACGAATCAAAAATAAGAGGTTGGCCTCTCCATTGCCAAAGCGAAATTGCTCGGGTTGGGCTTGCCTTTTCCAAAGTCCAGACTAGATTGCGAATGTTTGATTGCTCTGATTCTGCACTCAGATAAAACCCGCGTCGACGAGCCGTAAGGACTGTCTTGACCGGGTTTAAGGCAAGATCTTCAGGAATACTTGTAAGATTCCAATAGCCATCCGTTGACACACGTTCCAGCTTGTAAACTTCGTAGAGTGGTTCATGCGTGAACGCGTAGTCCAGTCCAAGCAATATATACTGGTCTACCACTGATGCTCTCATATCACTGACGGCGAAAAACGCGATGACGATAGCAGGCCCAATTCGATTTACTTCTGGAATTTTATAATCTTGGACCGAGATCGATGTCGTAACGAGTTGTACAGCAGTGGGATCGCTTTTGCGGCGAGCAACGTTAAACACGCGCAACAATGATGGGTCTCCGTCTATCAAAGGTGGCGAAGTACAGTCTATGACTGGTACTACGAGCTCCAAGTCGTCCATTTGAGTTATATAATACGAACTTTTGGCAATCACACTCTCAAAATTAGCACGAAGAAATGCGCTACTATAAATTTCAGCATCGAATAACTCGGCCGTCTCACATTTCTCAGTAGAGGTTGTCATTTTGTTCTCAAGAAACAAAGCGTAATCGCGAGGGCTTGTGTCTCCATTTAAAATGCTCTTGATGAGCAAGCTGTCGCGAATCAAGCCATTCCCGAGATATTCGAGGATCAGCTCGGACTCCATCGTACCAAACGATCGTGAATCGACTGGAGAACCTTTTAAAACTTCGAATGTGGCAATTGTTGCACGAAGATAGTTAGTCAAGCACATTAAAGCTGCTCCCACACCAGAAATTCGCCTGATAAGGTTCAAAAGCTGACTCCGCGTAATCCTCTTTTTTTTTAATTTGAGTCCCCGTCCAGCTGGTCCACTGTTTTTGACTGGTGACACGTGCGCGCTTAAAGCTCCCATCGGTTCAATAGTGCACTTACGGTGGTCGTCAGCTTATGAAAACGTCTTCAGCTTCTTGATTGCTATTTTTACTACAGCCGTAGCCAGTAAAGCGGGAGTTAAGAGCGTTAAAATAGCTCTTACAATTTGCTATACATAAGGTCAAATGGACAGCGCTAAAAGGGGAATCGCTTCATAATTCGCCTTTGATTCGAGAATTCCAAAACAAAATGTATTGAAAACATTGCTAATGGTGTACCAAATAAGAATTCACCAAAAAAAAATCTTGAAATTTGCAGCAACTAAAATGAAAATTTATA